GATATAACGCTGGGGACATTGACTAGACAAAGAGGGACTTTCAGGTGTGCCGTAACGAGAGCAGTGCACTATTTAAAAAAAAAACATACTGATTGATGACACACACATTGGAAGTGGCCATAGTGTAGTCACACTTACCAGGCCAAAAGTCTTAGGTTCAGATTCACATTCAGTGTGTATGGGTTTGGTGGGGGGAAGATCTCTAATTGACCTTGGCTCCCAGGTCAGCCCAGTTTTAAATGGGTATCAGGTCATTTCTTCAGAAGTAAAGGCAGCTGGTATGATGTTGACCACATCATCCACCCGATCATGTACCCGATGTGGCACTGGTGAAAAGGGTGTTGTACTTCTTCTACTTTATACATATATTTTTTGTGAATTTTGTCCCTAGTGATTAAGTGCATTTGTAGGAGTTGGCCCATAGCTGTAAAGGTGTGTATGAGGTGTGTAAAAAGGGTGCTGTAGTTCTCCTACTTTATACATACTTTTTATGTGAATTTTGCCCTAGTTATTTTGGGTTTTGTGGGCTTTGTCTTTAGCTGTAAGCCAACATGTGTGGTTTATCCATATTTGTAAGTGTACATGTGTGTGGTTTATCCATATTTGTAAGTGTACATGTGTGTGGTTTATCCAAATTGTGTGGTTTGTCCATTGTTATAGGTGAATGTATGTGGTTTGTCCACAGTTGTTGTGTAAATGTGTCTGGTTTGTCCATAGATGTAAGCATTTATGTGTGTGTGTGTGTGTGGTTTGTAAGTATCTCTGGGGTTTGTCCATTGTTGTAAGTGTATATGTGTGTCGTGTGTCCATAGCTGAAAGTGAATGTGTGGTTTGTCCATCATTATATGTGTGATTTTTGTATTATTTGTAAGTGCATTTGTCCATTGTTGCATATGTATGTTTATGTGTAGTTTATCCATAGTAACAAGTATGTGTGTGTGAGCATTGTTTCTAGTTACTCATATATGTTTGTGTCGTTTGTTTCTAATTATTTGTTTGTGTGTGTTTCTAGTTACATAGGTGTAGGTGTTCCTAATTAGATTATTTATGTGTGTCCTTAGTTACATATATATGTTTGGTTGTAGTTTGCTCCTAGTTACATATGTACATTTGTTTGTAGTTTTGGTCATAGTTTCATATTTCTGCATTTACTGTGGAATGTATAACTGCATGTGCATTTTTTAGTTTTGCTCATAAATATGTGTGTATGTTTGTGTGATTTTATTTATAACCGTCGCATGTATTATGTTTATGTAGGTTTATCCACTTACGCATGAATGTTTGTGTGTAGTTTGTCATTGTTACATATGAATGCCTGTATGAGTTTCACCCACAGCTATCTGAAAATAGCTATATGTTCATAACTACATTTGAATGTATGTTAGTTTCATTATAGTTTCATGTGTACATGTTTATGGGGGTTTATTTTGTTATAAGTGTATGTTTATGTTTTGTTTGTCTACAGTTTCATTCTGTGTGTGTGTTGTTTATCCATATTTATGTATGTGTGTATGTTGTCTACCCATTGTTACATAGTTATGCATGTTGTTTATCTATAGTTCGTATGTTTGTATAAGTTTTCTCATAGTTTCACATGTACAGTGTTTATGTGGTGTGTCCAGTTACAGATGTAGCTGGCAGCAAGATGCACATGTAAATGTTGAAGGGGGAACCTGAGGACTTATCGAAGTGTCAGGATTGTCGTGAGGCTAACTTAAATTATAACTCACCTTAAAAAAATGTACTTGCAAAGAGAACTGGTTGCTCACACCAGAAGAAGACAATCCACAATCTTTGAGCAGGTCATGAGAAGGGTATAGTTGGAGTAGGTTCTGACTTATTCTTCTGCATCCACCCTTAAAAGGTTGTGTTGTGGTTGATATCTGTGCCTTTTCCCTCAACACATCCTATTTCAGTCCCATGGGGCCTCACTTTGAACAGAAAAGAGCAGACCAACTGCCCCTTCCCCAACAAGCATGTCAAAAAGGTTGACTAATTAGGGGCATTTCCTTCAAAGTGTAAGTGTGTCTGTCTGAGAGGCGAGGAACCAGTCAGCATACAAATAATTCAGATCTGTCAAATGGATGTGCATGCTAAACTCAAGTTCTCAAGCATGATTTAAGTCCAGAAGTGGATAAATAACCAGAACTTTCCGCTGCTGAATAGTAAGAAGAGGAGCCAACATAATTATAAAATTCCGCCCCTGGACCATCCAAACACCTGCAAAATTTGATTGAGGCAGTTATCCGCCCCTCCCCCCCCCCCCCCCCCCTGTGGTAGCGCCCACTCTGGAAAATACTAACATTAAGGAACATGTGCCTATGAAATTATTTGTAGTAGAATTAATAATAATGAATACCAATGTCATGTTGCAGGAAGGAACATCTGTATTTTAATTATTGGTAGTAGATGAGACAGAAGGCTGGGGAAAATAATGATTACCTATGTCATGTTGCAGGAAGGAAGATCTATATTTGAAATTCTGGTAGTAGGTGAGACAGAGGAACATCTATGCCACATGGTATGGGCTATTGAAAAATAAAAAACACGAATAATTGTACAATGCTGTTTATTCAGCAAAAACAGAAACGCAACATGTCATTTTGCAAGGTTACTACTATCATGACTGTTATCAGCTACAATCATTTGTCATTCATGACCGCGATAACCTGAAGCTAACTCTACTTTTAATATGGTTCTTCTGCTTCTTCACATTCATCGGCTGTAAACACTGGCAGAAAGTTCTAGGCGTTTGTCCACCTTCGGACTTTAGTCTTGTTCCAGAACTTTAGTTTTGTGTACTCATCTGTTTCACACATCTGGCTTATTTGTATGCAGACTCTTGGTTCCTTGCCTCTCTGATGTATTCCAACTTCAAAGGATGCCTCTGAATTAGTCGACTCCTTCGATACGCTTGTTAGGGAGGCAATGGTCTATTCTTGTTTCTCCAATAACATTTCATTTGGTTTGATATCTTTTCATGGTATTTTTCTGCTTCACTGCAGTCCAATAATTTCACTTATCGGCTACTATATGTTTGTGCCTGTCTATCTTGTCTGTTCTGCATGTTTTTCTAAAATTGTTTATGGTGATCTTGTTTATTCATATTTGTAATTGTATCACTGTTTGTGTCATGTGCTGATGAAGGCTTTCTGGCTGCAGCGTGCATTTGTTGTTCTGGTTGTGGTAATGTGAAGCTAACCAGTTCCACTTCTTGTCTGCTTTGATATCTTTTCTTTGTTCTCTTGTATCTCACTGCCATTTTGAGCAACTGATATAAAATATAACATCTTCTAAAAAGCAACAACAGTTGGCATTCATGACATCAAAACATGCCAGAGAAAATCAACTCTCTTGTAAGTGACTTGTTTCAAGACATCAAAATAAGCCAGTTGGGAGCAACAGGTGTGACCAACTAAACATATCCCAAAAGTGACATCACTCGTGACATCAAAATATGCCATGTATTGAACAAAACATAAAAACAAAAATATGCCAGGTAAGGTACCAAATAAAACATTTCCCAGAAGTTACACACTCATTAAATCAAAACATACCAGGTAAGATCAACTGATTTGTCATTTGGCTAAAATATCAATTCAGGGAGGGAGCCACCGTGGTGTGGTGGCTGGATGCTCGACGGTCGTGGGTTAAAATTTGCATGGAGCTGGATTTATTTCATATATGACATTGTCCATCAGGTGGAGGGAGCCTTAAACGGGTTCTAGGTAAAGTCTTGGGAAGTAAAGGTGGCCAGCGTGGTGTTGATCACATCACCCATCGAGGCCAAAACTGGTCTATAAAAATGAGTCTAACATCATATGTCTGATGCGCCACTAGCATGCAAAGAGACTTCTACATTTTTTTTTTTTTAACAATTCCAGTAAGATCTTCATTTTAGGTTTGAACAATTGATCAACATCATGGCTCACGGGTAGTGACCAATAAGTGCTCCGTTCATCTTCTAACTCAAGTCTGAGTTTGAAGAAACTCAGCCCAGTGCACAGGCTCTGATTCACCGGCGAGGATCCTGAAATACTTTGGGTAGATTTCTAACTCCAAATGTTGCTAGTACAGTGCCATTAGGCTACTCTTTTTGATTTCCAACTGCCAAGGGAGTTTTTTACGTGGGCAAAAAATGCACATGGGCGTCTGATCTCACTACCCAGAGACCAGGGGGAATTACTAGAAGTCCAAGTCCACGTGAAAAAAATCCCAGCTCTAACTGGGGATTGAACCTGGAACCTCTAGCCCTCGAGGCGGACACCATGCCTCGAAACCACGCAGCCCCCAGTAGGATCGTCAACACATAGCATTAAAGATGTATGCAAGGAGAACACTAATGATACATATAATTATGTGCATTCAAGGGAACAGGGTGCCTTGGAAGGTGACAATTAGAAAGGGAACAGAGATAAAGAAAAAGATGACTGCAGATAGATTAGGAGCTGAGGAGAGACATGGTAATACATGTGATGGCAACATTTGTCTTGAAATCAAACGCTCTAATTCTGGAAGACTTTTCCTAATGATAGGGTCTCGCTAGCCATTGCCATGGGCTGTGGTTCCTATGCCTCCCAATATTGCATAGTACACCAATATTGTCTGGGAAGGCAGAAAAGTGCTAACAGTAAAGCTTCATAGCCTTTATCGGCTGTAAACTTAGAGGGAAAGTTTTTGTTGTTTGTCTACTTTTGGATTTTGTGTCTTGTTCTATAACTTCTGTTTTGTGTTCACAGATCTGGTTTATTTGATGACAAACTTGGTTCTTTGCCTTTCATATAGATGCACTCTGACTTTTAAGGAAACACCCCCAATTAGTTGGTCTAATTTTACAACATAACCCCATCCCCCCACCCCTTTCTTCTCAATGGGGCCCCAGAATCCACACACGGAGCATCAAGCAACAATATAACAATCCAGGTAAGATGAACTGAACAACTTTCAAAATTGACCTCTGTTTTTAATTGTACAACTCCATATGAAAAGCAACTGACTTGCTATCTGGCGAGGGTTGCATCTATCTGCATCACCCACGGCAAAGTCAGCAGAATTTTCCTGCGATAGTTTGGATCCATCTTCTTCTCATCGTTGAAATAAATGGGGTTTCTTTCTAAATAGACGGTCTGTAGTTTCTTCAGCTTGGTCAATGCTTGCACCTCATCCCATGAATCTACCAGATTATCATTGAACTGGGGGGAACAAATGAGAACAACACTACATTTTGGTCACTAATCGTCAAGTCATTCAGTAAGAGTAGCTGCTGGCTAAGCGGTTCAGAAGGTTGGAGTCTTATTCAGGAGAACCAGGTTCGAATCCTCAGTATAGTGATGGGTTTTTCCCTGATGGAGGCAAAACTAAAATCCTACCCTGCACAGTTCATGGCAAGTGCACTAGCCATGCAGCCCAGACTCATGACTCTTACACCCCACCCCACTTACTCAATCAATCAGGTACCATCTCCACAATGAAGATTGGCTGAATCTCTAACAAACCCTGTAGCTTGTCTTGGTTGAACACTCTCTCAGACTGTTCATCTCTTGATGTTGTCCTTCCACTTGTATAATTGTCTACTTCTTCGTTTTCTGCCTTTGACTTGTCCCTCCTGCATGGTTTTTAAGAGTATTATGTCTTTTTATGTGGCAGCAATATTTCAGCTGTCTTTTTTTTTTTTTTTAGTAATTTTTTTCATTCATAGTTTCTCCAGAACCTCTGTATTGGAATGTTTTTGTTTCCATTAAATAAGATTCGTGTTGTCAACATTACATCTTTCTGGGAAATTTCCTGGAACCAATTTTGGGCTCAATCAACCTGGGAGGCAATGCCAGTTACCTTAAATTAAAAAAAAAAAAAACGTACTATGATTTTTTGGTGTGCAATGTGTAGCTACTTTGTTTACGACAGACACAGGGCTGGAATCTGTTGACAATGTAATACACTGATACCTCGCCTAATTAAGATAATTCGTTCCAGAATCACACTTGTTTGTTAGCCAAAATCTTTGTTAGTCGAAACATAATTTCCTGTAGGTTTCTAGAGAAACTCAGATCACAATGAGCAGTGCTATCCTTAATCGCGCATCTCCTAAAACATTCGTTTGCTGAGGCTGAAAATCAGTGAAAAATATCTTCGTTAGGGGAAATAATTGTTAGCCAGGTCACTCGTTAGCCGAAGCTCACTACTTAAAAACTGTGGAGGATGCATTGCCAAATTAGCCTAATCTTATCTTGGCCAGTTTGTATTTTTATAGGCCAAATGGCACTCGTAAGGTTGTGTTGTCAACACCAAAACTGGCCTATGACATTTACAGTAAAAATTTTAAGCTTGGAGCCATATCAATCAATCAGGTGCCGTCTCCACAATGAAGGTCCGCTGAAATGGATCGCCAACACACTCTTGCCTTGGTTGTACACTTTCTCAGACTGCTGTTCCTCCATCTCTTTATGTTATCCTCCCACTTGTAACATTGTCTACCTCTTGCTCTCTTGTCCTCGACTTTTCCCTCTAGTATGGTTTTTAAAAAGGTGTTGTCTTTTAATACGGCATTTTTCAGCTGTCTCATTTTTATTTATTTCAATAATTCTCTTTTAATCCATGGTCTTTCCAGAACCTCTGTACTGGTCGGGTATTTTTGTTTCTATGAAATAGGACCTATTCTTCTGTATATCTAAACTTCCAGAGACACAATGCAATTGTTCTAGCTGCTTGTTCATTTTTTCCTAGTTTCTGCACCATACAGGGGGTGTACAAATCTGCCTTGCCATGGTTTCAAATTCAAGCATCTAGCTACTGTGCTACCATAGCTCCCTCTAAGCATATGCAGTGCTAAATCTATTTTATTTTGTCAATTCAAATGAGACCAGACAGTTCAGGTCTATATCTACAAGGAGTCCTCAAATGAAAACATTAAAAGTGTGCTCAAAAGTAAAATAACAGTGTCAACGTCAAATAACCTGTCAATATTTGTGTTAAGGTTATCATGAGTATTAAGCATGTGACATCAGGGTTCAAGCGAACAAGGTGACGCCATAATGAGTTTACAAATGGCCTCCCCACTACATTTTCAGTTTTCATTTGAAGCCTCCTAGTTTACAGAGCTGACCCTGAAGTATAGGGGTTCACTGACCAAGCAGCCTTAAAAAAGCTGACTCACCCAAAACTCCTCCAGGTTTTCCAGGTGATCGATATTCTCAATCTTGCGTATCCTGTTACCTGCCAGGTCTAGGGTTTTCAGTTTTTTCTGGGAGAATAATTATATAACATGTCAGGTCATGGGACACACTGTAGTGGTCTTAGTCTATCTGTATATCGGTATACTAATATATATGTGGTGTTTGTCTATTTATAACAATTATCCATCTGTGATACGTATCTATCTGTGACAGATATCCATCTGTGATACTTATTTAACTGTGATAGATATCCAGCTGTGATACTTATTATCTGTAATAGCTGTCTTAACAGGTATGCTGTGTTTCAATTTGTTGTGTTGTTTTCTAATATCTCTCTGAAATCTACAAGTGATGTTTCTCATTGTAATCTCCTCTTTCTCTCTCTCTCTCTCTGTTGTCTATCTCTACCTAATCTCTCTTTCTCTCTCTCGCTCTCTCTATGTTGTCTATCTCTACCTAATTTCTCTCTCTCTCTCTCTCTCTCTCTCTCTCTATGTTGTCTATCTCTACCTAATCTCTCTCTCTTTCTCTCTCTATGTTGTCTATCTCTACCTAATCTCTCTCTCTCTCTCTTTCTCTCTCTCTATTTTGTCTATCTCTACCTAATCTCTCTCTTTCTCTCTCTATGTTGTCTATCTCTACCTAATCTCTCTCTCTCTCTTTCTCTCTCTATGTTGTCTATCTCTACCTAATCTCTCTTTCTCTCTCTATGTTGTCTATCTCTACCTAATCTCTCTTTCTCTCTCTATGTTGTCTATCTCTACCTAATCTCTCTTTCTCTCTATGTTGTCTATCTCTACCTAATCTCTCTCTATGTTGCTATCTCTATCTAATCTCTGTCTCTCTCACTCTGTTGTCCTTCTTCAGCGATCTCTGGTCATGCGCATAATCCACTGTGGGTCATAAACTGGGATGTCTTTTCAAGGTCTCTTAGGTTTCCCCAAAGCTTAGTTGTCAGTTCTACTGGGTGTTGCCATATGTCGCTCCGCAGCTCCGCCAGGAGAGGACAGTCTTGCAGGACATGTTCTGGAGTCTGTTCAGCACGAAGACACTGGCAGAGAGCTGTTTAGCTCATACCTAATTTATATGAGTGTTTATTGAGTCTGCAGTGTCCAGTGCGTAAGCGAAAAACTGTGACTTGGTCTGTTCTGTTCAAGTGCCTCAGAAAATCTTTTCCGTAGTCATAACCAGTGTTGTTTTTCCAATTTGTTTCTGATTTTCTCTTAATGAGAGTTTTGACTTCTGGAAAAGATAGTGGCTGGTAGGTCTGTGGTTTGTTACTGCCTTCCTTGGCTAAAGCATCTGCGCTTTCATTGCCTTTGATGCCGCAGTGAGACGGAATCCACTGCAAGTGAATTTCTGCCTTATTTGACAACATAGCAAGTTCCTGTGTTAGACTTTGTAGTGTGCTGTCAGTAGGTTTGGACTCAAGGGCCTGTACAGCTGACAGTGAGTCAGTGAGAAAAACTATCCTGTCTGCGGTGATTTGCAGATTGTTCATATACTGTGCTGCCATCAATAGAGCTGAGAGTTCTGCCTTGTAGTTAGAGCAAGTTCGTCCGGTGGGGGCTGCTAGGGACACAGTAGTGGCATCTGGGTGTTTTATGTAAACACCTGCCCCACCATTCGTAGTTGCCTCTTTTGCTGATCCATCTGAGTAGATTCTTGTCCAGCTGTCCTGTGGGAACATGTTGAGGTGTTCCATTGTGAGTGCTTTCTTCACTAAAGCGGACTCAGCATCTTTGTTTCCCAGGTTCGGGATGGATGTTGACACATTGAGTGTCAATAATTCGGAGTCCCAGAGATCGAAAGATAGCTCTTCAGGTGTACATTGTTGGTTAAGTAGTGAAGAGAATGACTTTCCAAATTCCTTCGTTAGATGGTTTAGGCTTGTGCGCTTTATTCTGTTTTTTGTCCTGGCTGCCAATTTTTCGTGTAATGGGTGGTTTAGCATTCTCTTCATTTTTTTAGCATGTAGAATTGCTTTTGTCCTTCTTCTTTCTTCTAAGGGGATGATGTTGGCTGCCTTTTCCATTTCTACAATAGGTGTAGATTTTATGGCTCCCAGAATTGTACGCAGACTTCTATTTTGCGTTTTGTCTAGTATCTGTTGTTGTCCATCTCTACCTTCTCATCTCTCTGTCTTAATCACCAAATCTCCTCTGCCTTCTTCTTACTATCTTTTCAAATATGTCTCTCTAAATATCTTCCATCTTCCTCATTGTCTCTCTCTTTTTCTGTTACTGCATCCTTCTCTCTCTCTCTTTCTCTCTCTCTTTTCTCCTGATGTCTTTATTTCATCTACTGCCTCATTTACTCTCTCTCTTCTCACTTCAGCTCTCCTCCCCATGTTTCTTCCCTTTTCACTATTTCTCTCCCTCTCTCCATTTCACCCCTCTTTCTCATATTATTCTAACAAATATAATAAGAACCAGACTTCATCTCTGCAGACCTTCAGTTTTTTTCCTAGCACATTATGACTAATGTTCTTCCCATCCCTCTCCCTCCTCTCTTTCTCCCACTTCCTCATCATCCTATCGCACTCAATAGACAAGAACCACTGCTGTAAGAACTATTTACATAACAGCAGTCCGCATCATCCATCTACTCCTCCACCTACCCCCCCCCCCTTTTCCCCCAGTCTCATCCTGTCATTTAGTTAGTTTGCTGAGGGTTCCAACATCACTGCAGAAAGGTCACCCCATAACGGCTCTGCTTCTATGCCGGGTGGAAATCACACAAAATGTCCGTCACTGTCCATTTTGAAAACTAGTAAAAAACTCATCATTTCCAGCAAAATCTTGATGCTGGCACATGCAAAGTTTTAAAAAAAAATGCACAAGGCAGCTGACAAATGTGCTTACACTAACAGCCACATGCCAGACCTGCAGCTGACAAACGCTACAGCAGCAACCACTTACACATTTCTGCAGACCCTCAATCCGCAGCAGCCCATTATGACTGATGTACAATTCAGTAAGCTCCACCAGATTGTCCAGTCCCTCAATTAACTGCAGTCTGTTGCTCTGGAAAAAAATGTCAAAATTTCAGTAGGTTCCTCTGAGATATAGGTTTAAAATTTCAGTAGGTTCCTCTGAGATATAGGTTTAAAACTTGTCTGTTCCTCTGAGATAAAGGTTTAAAGTTTCAGTCTGTTCCTCTGAGTTAAAGGTTTAAAGTTTCATTCTGTTCCTCTGAGATAAAGGTTGAAAGTTTTAGTCTGTTTCTCTGAGCTATAGATTTAAAGTTTCAGTCTGTTCCTCTGAGATATGGGTTTAAAGTTTCAGTATGTTTCCTTTGAGGTAACAATTTAGAGTTTCAGTCTGTTCCTCTGAGAAAAAAGGTTCAGAGTTTCAATTTGTTCCTCTGAGATAAAGGTTGAAAGTTTCAGTATGTTTCCTTTGAGATAAAGGTTTAGAGTTTCAGTCTGTTCCTCTTAGAAAAAAGGTTCAGAGTTTCAATTTGTTCCTCTGAGATAAAGGTTTGAAGTTTCAGTCTCTTCCTCTGAGATAAAGGTTTGTAAGTTTCAGTCTGATTGAGTTTCAGTTTGTTTCTCTGCGATAAAGGTTTAGAGGTTTGGTTTCTTTCTCTGAGAAAAAGGTTTAAATTTTCAGTAGGTTCTTCTGAGATAAATATTTATAAGTTTCAGTCTGTTCCTCTGAAATAAGGGTTCAAAGTGCCAGTCTGTTCCTCTGAGATAAAAGTTTGGTTTAAGTTTGTTCCTCTGAGATAAAGTTTAAAGTTTCAGTAGGTTCCTCTGAGATAAAGGTTCAAAGTGTCAATTTGTCCTCTGAGATAAAAGTTTAAAGTTTCAGTCTGTTCCACTAAAAAAAGTGTTAAGAGTTTCAATCAGTTGCTCTGAGATAAAAGTTTAAAGTTTCAGTCTGTTCCACTAAAAAAAGTGTTGAGAGTTTCAATCAGTTGCTCTGAGATAAAGGTTTAAAGTTAAACTCATTTACTACCAAGCAATTTAACGGGCATTTGTGAACTTCAAAAATTACAGTAAACTGCAGTGTATAAGCTGAGTTTTCAAGACTAAAAAACTTTCAAAAAACTAGGGGTTGACTTACCTGGCTGGTTCAACATACAAACCTTTACCACCAGCTGCAGGTAATTTGGCAGCAGACCACCTTGCATTGGTTTCAAGAGAGCAGAATGTCCAGAAAGAAATAGCAAACTACTGGACGTAAATTTACTTAGAAAAATAGAAAAACCACAGCAGCAAAAAAATGCTCGGGTTGGTTCTGCAATGTCAAACTGGAGTATCAAAACATCGGTCTAGCTAGGTCTTATTTCTAGAAAAGGGTGCTAGTACTCGCCATAAATGTCTCAAAAAGGTGCAGATATGCAAAATAAAGTGTCTTTTAGAGAAATGCTGGGGGGGGGGGGGGGGGGGGAACTATGCATAAAACAGGTGCCGGTACTGCATACATGGGGAAAAGACCATGGGTCTAGCATTATATGTCAGATGTGTCAAAGATATGAACAGGATCCTTTATTTTTTTTACGGTGAAGACCAGCAAAATTTAAAAAGACATACACTTGTATACCTGTATGCTCAGGCAAGTCAGATTTCTAAGTGTCTGCAGCTCCCTGAGCTTGGCGATTTTGTTCTTGCCCAGAAAGAGCTGCTTGAGGTTGACCAGCTTGCTGAGTCCTTCTATGAGCTTTAAACAGAAGAAGATATACAATTACAGCACAGAATAAGGACCTCTCAGTAGGGAAGTGGTTAAGCTTTGTGTTCTGAAGGCTGTGGGTTTCCACTGTGGACTCCTGATAAGTGTGCAACTAGAATGTCTTTGCAATGGAATCCGCATGGTCGAAGAAACAAAATTAGACTCAAAAGTAAAACATCTACACACAGAAATTTCAGTTATTAACTTGTTCAATTATTTACTTATTCATATTTCTACCCCGCTTTTTACTTATGCCGTCTTACTTATTTTGTTTTGTATTACAGCCCTTCGTATTCATATCTCCATCCCCCCTCCTTCCCCCATGTATTTCTTAGTTTCATGTTGACCTTGTGTTTTTTTTTTTAGATGCTCTGTTGTCTTGTCCGTTTAATTTTTATGTCAGAGTTTGTGCTGTATTTAGTACCCTGCTGATAAAACTTTGAACGAAGCGCTTGGTTGTATTTGCGCTTTTTCTATTCCCACCATTGAGCTTTCTAGTCGCACATTTTACTTTTTATTCAACACACACAGAGAAGGGAATCAAAAATTGAAATCAACAAGATGGGAAGGCCATGAAGTGAGCTACACACAACAGCAAAAGATAGACCAACCTGTCATGAAATGGCAGGGGGCCTATGCTCCACTGGGGATAAAGGGCGGAAGAAAAGGACAGTTAACAACTCTCAACCATTATAAGTGCTAATAGTAGCGCTATTATCCATACAGTCCTGACCTATATGTTGACAGTGAAATCTGAGCACCTATGGATGTGTCTGAGTAACCTTATCAATAACGTAAAATCGCAGGCACTCCGTACATTATGTAACTCTGTCCACTATTCTCTCCCTAGGTCGACCTAGCCTTAAATGGGTACCAGGCAATGTCCTGGGAAGTAAAGGTGGTCAGCGTGAAGTAAAAATATCTTCCCTCACATTCCTGATACGCCAATGTCTTGTAATGGTATTTACTTTACTTTTACTATTCTCTACTCTAAGTGTTTAAAATATCCCTCTATATCATCATTCGTGGTGGTGGTGGGGGGGGGGGGGAGTAGGGTCTGATTTCATCTTCTTAAGCTTCTCCTTCTCTGAATCCTTCTTCTTCTCCTTCCCTCCTTCTCCTCCTCCTACTCTTCCTCCTCCAGAGAATTATTCTGATTTGAATTTAGATCGTACTATCTGAGGTCTCAATCAGGTGCTGTCTCGACAATGGTTGGCTGCAATGGATCTCAAACATGATCCTTTTTATTCTTGATGTACATTTCTTCAGACTGCTATTCATCGATCTATTGATTTTATCCTCCTACTTGTATCATTGTCTACCTCATGCTTGTCTTTGCTTCAACTTTTCCCACCAGTGTGGTTTCTGTAAGACTGTTGTGTCTTTTAATGTAGCTAAAATATTTGTCTCTTTTTTATTTTCTGTACAAATTCACCCCTCCCCCAACCCCTAGTCTCTCCAAAATCTCTGTGCCTAGTTATTTGTTTGTCTCTATGAAACACAATCTCTTCTTCTCTATATCCACACCTACTGAAAGCTGTGATGCATAGTTTATAAACACATTAGTTGAATGTCCTTTACAGGATGTTGCAGAACCAACCTCAGAAACATTTTTTCTGTTTGGTTTTACTAGACAATTTTTAAACTCAGTAGTTTGCCATTGCTTCTAAGCCATCATCAATCCATACCACTGTCAAAATCAACTCAAAAGGGTCTGTTGCTAAACTGCTGGCAGCTAGAATCAAAACAAGTTTTTCAGAATTTATAATCTGTTTAAATCATCATTGATCACTGGCATCATGAGAGCTAATCGACTGAAATGGTTGAGGCATATTGAAAGAATGTCAGATGACAGAGAAGTAAAAAGTTTATACACAATGGAGAATGGTCATAGACCACGAGGCAGACCAAGATGAAGATGGAGAAATAATGTCCAGACAGACCTGCAAACACTTGGTGTCACCAACTGGAAAGAGAAGGCCAACCAGAGAGATGAATGGAGGCGGGTGATATCTGTAGCAATAAACCTCAAGGGCTCGGAAAGCTGAAGAAGGCCAACCAGAGAGACGAATGGAGGCGGGTGATATCTGCAGCAATGAACCTCAAGGGCTCGGAATGCTAAAGAAGGCCAACCAGAGAGATGAATGGAGGCAGGTGATATCTGCAGCAATGAACCTCAAGGGATCGGAATGCTGAAGAAGGCCAACCAGAGAGATGAATGGAGGCAGGTGATATCTGCAGCAATAAACCTCAAGGGCTCGGAATGCTGAAGAAGGCCAACCAGGGAGATGAATGGAGGCAGGTGATATCTGCAGCAATGAACAAGGGCTCGGAACGATGAAGAAGAAGATGAAGTGTGTTCATAATGTCTAAACCAAAGAGGCTGATATTTTATAAACAGGATGTGCAAACAGAAGGAATGGCTTCAAGTGCTCTGTTCATGACCCCTAGCAGTGAAGACTTTGGTAAATGCCAAATACAAAAAAAAAAGAGATCATACCCTGATTTTATTATCTCCCAACTCTAGAAGCTCCAGGTGCACCAGATGGCTGATATTCTCAATGGCATCAATTTTATTATTCACGAGAAACAGCTTACGTAAACTGACCAGGGTCTCGAGTCCTTCAATCTTTCGCAGACGATTGTACGACAGGTCTAGATGCCTGATGTCAATGAAAACAGTAAATAAATGAATGACTTTAGGTTCATTATAAATAAACTAATTACAGCAGGATTTGAATCAGGTCTTGTTCAGGTATGACTGAACTGCTGTATAACAGTAGTCATTACTGTCTGTTCTCTGTTAACTTAGTTATATATGACTGAGCTACCATACAACAGCAATCGGTTCTACCTTTTCTGTTATCAAACTGCTACTGGCACCATCCGAACTGTAACTCTTTGCTGGCTGCTGAAAATGAGTATGGAGCACTTATTGGAATGTCTCTTTTGGTGTGTCAATTCTTAACTCCTGAGCGGAGACCATGTGACCTCACTGATCATACTGTCCATGAGCACTTGACTATTATTTTAAAAATCTGTAAATTACTTGACTATTATAAAAAGGAAATCAAAAGTTACTTGACTATTATATTACAAAAGGACGTCATAAGTTACCTATCTATTAAAAATGAGTCACAGGTTACTTATCTTTTACCAAAAAAAGAAGTCATAAGTTACCTTACCATTGTAAAAAGAAGCTGTACGTTACTTGACTATTAAACAAAAATGCCATAGGGTACTTCACTATTATCTTTTTCTTTCTTCTTTGTTGTTCACTGGCTATAAGCTCTAATGGAAAGTCCTGGTTGTTCGTCCATTTGGACTTTGTGCCAGCTCCTGCGTTTTGCGTGTACATCCATTGTACTGGCTTATTTGTGTGCAGTTGGTTTTTCCTTACTGCTTGGGCCGATGTACTCCGACTTAGAAAAAAGCTCCTGTCAACTCTTACAACATACTTTTTGGGTAGACAATGGGTCTGTTCTTGTTTTCCCCACAATGGGGCCCGGAACCCATATGGTGACTTTATTATTATTAAAAAACAGTCATATGTAACTTGACTTTTATAAAGATCATAAGTTGTATGGGTATTATAAAATGAAGTTGTATGTTTCTAGATGATTATTACAGAAAGTCACAAGTTGCTCGATTATTGTGAATGCTGTCAAAGCCTTGTCAAATGCTTCTAGTGTGACAAACAGGCAACTTACTCTAAGCTCGTCAATGCTTCCAGGTTTTCAATCCTTGTGATCTGGTTGTCATAGAGATCAAGCTCTCTAAGGCGTGTGAGTGAACTGAGTCCTTCAATCTGCTTTATCAGATTCTGTCGCAAGCACAGTGTCTGAAGAAAAAAAACTACTGCATTTATACTCTAGCTGACAGACACATCATAGCAAATGTTCAGTGGTAGATACTAACAAATAAATAAATTTACATAAATTTGTGATTACATGAAAAAATCTTAAATAAAATTAAAGATGCCAAGAATAATTGTAAACAAATTTGTTGCGTATTCTTTACAGGACATTGCAAAAGCAGTCCCAGCATATTTTAGATGTTGTGATTTTTCTAGGCAAATTTATGTCCTGTAGTTTGCCACTGCTTACTGGACGGTCGGCTTCTTGATACCACTGTCGAAATTAATGCACGGTGCAAGGTCCGCAGATGGGATCGAATCCGGCTAAGCCACAGATGCTGCCCAAGAATAATATATGCACTAAAATATAGTGTAGTCCTGAAGACGGAAAAGTCCATGGAAACATAACTGCAGATAGGTAAAAAGGCGAGAGTCTGAAAAGAAGCAGATTACATTTTCTTCTTCTTCTGTTTGCCCTTAAAATGGTGATTGGCACTTTACATTGTGGTTTACAGCTTGACTGCACTATCTTAATTTTTTGACCTAGTGCACCACTTTGTTAACTAGTTGTCTTTTATGACACGCCTTTGAGGAGTGGAGGTGTGCTGATGGGTATATTCTCCCCATCCAAACCCCCAAATAAGGCCCTGGAACCCACAAAATTCAGACTTTTTTACATAATCACAAAATCAGAGGTCATGTGGCCAGAACTTACCTCAACATGTGTGGCTCGCTCCAAGTTTTGTATCCTGCCAATCCTCTGATGGTTATAGTCTAAATCCTTGAGGAGAAAATAAAATAAACAAAGAAAGAAGCGATCCTCAGCTTCATGAAAACACAATCAAGGGTGATAGAATTATCATTATGGCTATACAGCCTTCATTAGTATGAAAAATACAGTGACAATTATACCACTAAATAAAGTAAAGATACTTTTATCATGTCTTTATGTGCAAGATACATAGTGCTGAACTTTATACATAAAGTAAAGATCACTTTGTTATACCTTTAGGTGAAGGAAACATATAGTGCTCACCTACATAAAGTAAGGATCTCTTTATCATGCCTTTAGATGCAAGAAACATACAGTGCTCAATTGTATACATAAAGTAAAGATCACTTCATTACACCTTTAGGTGCACGAATCATACTGTGCTCAACTTTATACATAAAGAAAATATCCCTTTGTTATACCTTTAGGTGCATGAAACATATAGTGCTAACCTACATAAAGTAAAGATTTCTTTATCATGCCTTCATTTGCAGGAAACATATAGTGCTCAACTACACAAAGTAGTGAACACTTTATTACACCTTTAACTGTCTTATAGAAGAGACACTAAAACTATGATCCAGATGGAGACGTTTAATAGTATGCAGTCACACCCAATGAATGCAAGATCAGATGATCTGCCATTGGGGCGTCTCAAACGTAGCAGCTTTGTCCATCGTGGGAAAGACTTAGCAGTCAGTATCAAGCAGATCTACCCATGAGAACACCACTAAAACCCTATACCTTGTACCTTGAGAGTATGCAGTGAGAAAGTAACGACTTCAGTCAATGCACGCACTGCTGGAGATGAGTCCAATGATCATCAAAAACAATCAGTGGTCTCTTAGTATGATCCAGGATAAATATTCTGAACAGTCTTGGATACATGCATATACATGTGGATCAGCAACCAGTGTGGTTAAAAATGGGGGTGCTGACGTCTTTATCACATATCTAGACACCACCGCCACACAAAGTATATACCCATTGGTAAGTTTTGTTCTGACTACACAGCAGAGATCCTAGCATTAGAGCAAGCTGCCAAAATATTACACAATATTAGTTCTGACTGCCAACAAGTGGTCATCTTCACAGATGCACTATAGGTGCTCCAAGCCCTCAAGAGTGGTAAACTTCCGACCTGAGATCTGAAATAAGCAAGGTGGTTGCCCAAAAGTGTACTGTACTCCAGTGGGTGCCATCCCACTGTGGTATACCAGCATGACTTGGAGAAAATATCCAAAAAACGCCAACTACTTTGTATCCTTTTTTTCAGAGATCCATGGGATAGTTTCTGGAGTTACAGAGTTCATACTTTTAAGTTCAACATTCAGTGAGACCAAGCTGGATGAAACCCAGTGCAATGAAACAGATCCGCTTATAGGACAATCAATTTTTTTTTTTAAACCTGATATTACTCACGGTATTTACCCATTTTTACTAAAGGGTGGGGTGTCTTTGTTTGAGCCTGAGTATTTATGGCCACATGGCTAGTGCAGTAGCCACCGGCTGTGCAGGTTAATATTTTATTTTTGTCACAGAAACAAATCCACATCCTTACTCAAGATTCCAATCTGGGTCTCTCATATTACAGCCAAACGTCCTTAACCATCTGGCCAGCTTCTCAAGTTTCATCAATTTTACTGTGCTGGTTTTATTTTCTATGGCTCGGTCTCTCTCCACAGAGTTACTAGTCACCTACAGAGCACCATGATTAGCATAAAATTCATTATCTTCAGCAATAACCCATGGGACTTTTTGAACACTTGCACTCATGAACCAAAGTCCGAACTTGAGTTACAACCCCCAGGGTGCCAAACTATAGCTTAACTACTTCACCACAAGGGAGCCATGTTAGTGAAGTGGCTTGACATTTGCACAACAGCACGAAGGTCTCAAGCTTAAATCACCACGAAGACAAGTAAAGAACATAAGAACTTTTAACAGTGTACTTGCAACTGCATCTGTATCTTCGAGCACAAGCTCAGTGAACAATTCAGTGCCATCCACAGTGTCAACATCATCACCTGGTGACTCCCCATCTCTTGCACTGCTGCTGGTTTCAAACATTGTTTTTATCACTGAAAAAAGAGTTGGTAACTCTTTTTGTATAAATTTTTTTTAACAATATCTCTTTCTATTCTGTCAAGTAAGTAAAGGATACTTTTCCGCGCCTTCAGGTGTATTGGGCATATAGGGCTAGACCTATATTTCACAGACCAGTCAGTGTTCAGTGGTCAACATCACACCAGCCACCTTTACTTCTCAGGACTTTACCTGGCACCCATTTAAGGCTGTTTCAACCTGGGAGCCAAGGTCATTTTTGAAAAAGTACAGTTCTATCAGGACCTAACCCCATGACCTTTGGATCTGCAGGCGAGCATCTAGCTACTATAGCATAGGAGCTCCCTCTTTCTATTCTAAGTATTTATTTATTTAAGTAAATAAACTGTTGGTCTGAGGTGTTATAACAGCTTTATGGAATATGAGCGGTTAAAAAAGTAGCTGGGTGGGATATGAGGAGTCAAAACATCAGCATTGTGGGACGGGAGGAGTTAAAACAGCAGCATTAAGATAAGTGTGAAGCTAGAACACCAGCACTGTGGGACAGGAAGAGTTAAAACAGTAGCACTATGTGATAGCATTGTGGGACAGGGGCAGTAAAAGTTTTTTTTTTTTTCAAGTGAGTGTAGCAAATCGCTGGGCCAGAGGAAGTAAATGACGACAACTGAAACCAACAAATGCATGGTGAGCTGGCTTGTATTGAATGACTAAAAGGGTACATCAGCCAGTACATATCAAGAGTCTTCGATGTAAACACATTAAGAAACATGTTCGGGAGAGGGATAGGGTACTTCTGAATATGTCCAATATGCAATGAAGAAGACCCCACTGAACAATTAACTGACGCCTTAACGTAATATTCAATATTAATATTATAAGTAAAGAAAGTAAAGGACCCTCTTCCACGCCTTTAGGTGTAGCAGTGCTCTCTTCTTCGTTGCGTATGTTCTTGTCACACCCAGGTTCGTCTTTAGGTTTGCTACAGGAGGAGTCGATTGGAAGATTATAGACGAGGAGAAAGATGGTCGTGTCGATAGTGGTTATGATGATGATGATGTCTTCCTAGCTGCATGCTTCTCACGTGACTCTGATACTTGTATAACAAAATGTCTGGAAACAACTGTTCTCATCTGTACTGTCTTTATTGTGTTACTTCAGCAAAGTCACAAAATAACAGCAATGATATTCTAAATAGTGCCGAGTTATCTCTATGGCTAAATACTCGTAGGTTCGCGTTGTGTTCTTCTTCTTTAGTTACTTTGTTAAAATGGTTCTAGTGTCACTAACTGCCACCTGGCTTGTAGTACTGTTGGTACTAACGGCTTGATCATCGACTCTAACATCTCTGTAGTGTTCCTAATGTGTCTCTGTTGACCATGGATCCATGTATATCTTGTGTGTCGTCTCTGTAGCTCGATGTCTCGTTTCATGTTTGCTCTCCAGTGACTGTCTTCGAGGTTCCATATAAACGGCTGCTCTGCTTCCAGTGTTGAGCTGGCATCAAGGATCATTGAGACTAGTCGCTCGTCCTCTGAGTCTCAACGACTGAAGGCTTCTAGTGTTGAACTTACATCTTTACCACTGAAGGCTGCATTGAGAGTCCATGACTGGTCTCTCCTTTCTTGAGTCTTGTGGACTGAAGAATTTTTAAAGTGCTTTGTTGCTCGCTATTTATACTTGGATGCTGGAATGCTAGGTATTTGTTTTCTTCTCGCTTTGTCTGCTTCTAGAATATTCTAGTACGCCTCAACTTGTTTACTAGGTAGGTTCTCACGTGGGATTTGCTAATTATATCTTGATTGCATCAGATTTCATCATCCTATTCTACGCAGATATAGTAGTTAAACTGACAATTGAGGTCGTAGAAGCTTCTAGAAAAACAAAGACAATTGCGTTTGCTTTGATAGGGCACGTCAACAAGGTATTCACTAGTATGATAAGGTTGAGTCACATGATGAAAAGAATGCGTTTCAAAACTTCCAGAAAGAAGGCCAAGGCCAGACAACACCAGTTTGATGTCAATAGCTTGTTTTGGCGAGAAAAGAAGATTCTGGAAAAGGGAATGTCAAGGCTGCCAAAACTTGTTGATTTTCAGTACACCATAACTCTGCGTAATAACCCACTTCCTTCAAACAAGTAATGACTTAACTGTGTTACATAGGCGCATAGGGCATATAGGGCTTGAACTATATACTATATTTTATAGACCAGCGGCACAAGATGGGTGACGTGGTCAGCATCACGCCTGCCGCCTCTACTTCCCGGGACTGCACCCGGTACCCACTCAAGGCTGGGTGGACCTGGGAGCCAAGGTCATTTTTAAAGAAAAGTCCAGGGAGCGAACACACGACCTTCCGATCCGCGGCGCGCGTCTAGCGCCTAGCTCTGCCACGGCGACTCCCATATTAATATTATTATACTGAATGGCAATAATCAATATATAAAACGGCGACCCTAACGGACACAACCTAGTGAATATCAGCTTCTGGGGGACATTGGGGAGTAGTGGAAACAGACCCACTGCCCTTTAAAGCATGTTGTAAAGGGGTTTAATTAAGGGTTTGTTGAAAGCGAATGTGATGGGGGTCGAAAGTTCAATAAACTGATCAGAATCACCAAACACACTTCTTTGACTTAATAATTAAGTACAGGGGCGTGTCTTGGTTGTACAGAAATTGTTTTCGTGAACCCGTCGATTTTAATATTTTATCATTAACAACTAAACTACGATAAAAGACACTGTTTTTGTCCTTAACTAACATCTTTCATGACATTTTTTAAAAATCTTACAGATCACAAACGGATAGCTCGCTTATGGTCCGACGGGATCTGCTACTTTATGGGTGTAAAACATGTTTCCTGGATAGAAGAGCTCATTAATTCCGGAGATGCCGTACGAGTTAACTAATTCGATTAACAATTAGATGCCTTCTCCACAACCACAACAAAGACTGGCTGCTATGAATTCCCTACACTTTTTATTTCTCGTTTTGGTTATAAACTCTTTACACTGTTTTTTGTTGATCTCTGGTTATCATTCTTTTATTCTTTTTTTTTTCGCTGTCTGTGTCGTGTTGCTTGCCTACAGCTTTTCACTTCAGTAATTTTTTTATTATTAAGTGTTATATGTTGTAAGTAAAGAAAAGGACCACTTCCCATCCCTTTATGTGTATTAGGGTGTATAGTGCTAGACGTATGCTTCTAAGAGTACCATCAGCAGCAGCAGGAGCACTACTACCACCACCAGCAACAACAGGAACACCACCACTAACAGCAACAGGAGCACTACTACCACCATCATCAACAACAGGAGCACTACCACTAACAGCAGCAGGAGCACCAGCAGAAGCAACAACAGCAGGAAGACCAGCAGCAGAAGCAGGGCCACCAGCAGCAGTAATACCACCACTAACAGCAACACCACCACCAGTAGCAGTACCAGCAACATTCAACATTCTCACCTCTAGTGGTATTTACAGAGCATTACAGAATCACCAAAGCTTACTAATGTGATGCTAACTATTCCTGCAACCAGTGCTTCAGGTGGGCTGTCGTTGTCCCCATTAAGAGAATTTATCTTTATAGCATACAATCACATAACAAATTCTCTAGGCTTTCTTTGATGTCTATTGAAAGAAGATTGCTAAAGATGGTGACATTTAAAAAGTGTCATTTTACGACTCCGTGACTGGGGATTTAGACAAAAAGGGCCGCAGAATTAGCTACAAATTCAAACGAAAATATGTTATCATCGCATAGTCATAATTGTCACAATCTGAACCAACAGCAGAATTTGTAAATATTATTATTAATAATAATTTGCTTCGTGAAATATTAACTTTGTCTAAACCGCTTACACGTTCGAATTGATCACGCCTTGCCAGAGTCAGAGTATCCAGACATTGAAAAAAAATTATTCAGCGGGGACAGTGGCATAGCAAGGCCAGGAGATACCCGATGTGGATTTTTCCTGTCACTCCCCACACACTACACAGGAGATACCCGGTGTGGATTGTTTCCTGTCACTCCCCACACACTACACATTTTAGGTTTAAAAAAACACCATATTTTCGCTTTCTTGCCCCCCCCCCCCCCCAGTAATGACATCCGGTGGGAGCCCCCACCCACCCCCTCCCCAGTCCTTTGCTACGCCTCTGAACGGGGGTGATCAAGAGTTCTGGAAGATATTTAGCGCTGAGGGGGAAATACGGGTGGACAGTAAATCAGATTACTTAGGCTATGGCCCATTTAGTATGCAGACTCGTCGCAGGCTACTGGGAAAAAAGACAACGAACATTTGGAAATGTCCCATGTGCAGTGTGCTATCGAATCTTGATTTATTCATTTCCACATAGTGATATAATGTAATGAAAAATATCTTATGCAATACATCGCTCTCATTTAATGTCAGAAAAAGGTGATAAAATGTTACATAGAACATGTTCTGCTGTATGGAAGCGAATCTTAGAATGTCACTGAACAAATTAAGAAGAATTTGGAAGCAACAGAGATGTGGTTTTTTAGACGAATGTTACGAATACCTTGGACGGCCCGAGTAACTAACAGCGATTGCTTGAAAGAGGCTAATGAAAGTAGATCTCTATATACAACAATAAGAAATAGACAAACACTGTTCTTTGGCCACATAATGAGAAGAGAGACATTGGAGAACATTGTGACAACTTGGAAAGATCAGTGCAAAAAGGGGTAGAGGCAGATCAAGAGTGATGCTGGATGGGCTAAAACGATGGCATAGGGGGATATCAAGAGAGCTGTTTCAGTCAACCAGGGATCTGTGGAGACGCATGGGCGCCTACGCCAGTTGGTAGGGCACATGATGATGATGATATAATGTAGCACCTGATTACGTCCAGTGAAACGCCTAGTACAGGGCTATTCAACCAAGTTTACTCAGGGGCCAAAATAAGGAAAATCGGGATCGCCACTGGCCATAGGTCAGAGTTCCAGCATAGAAAGTTCATTAATACAATGTAGCTGGCAATGATCCGCGGACCATGTGCTAGGCCTTTGCGTGCCAGATTTGGCCCTCGGGCCGCCAGTTGAATATCCCTGCTAGTGTGTAGTATGGCACAATTATGTCATGAGGTTTATGACGATGATGATGTTTGATTACCATTGATCTCAAACATTTCTGTATCAATGACACTAATTCACCTCCGAAAATTGGAGAATATCACAATCATGGAGTTTGGTTTCGTCTGCAATATGAGCCAAGTGCCTACCTATGATTCTACAGCGTTAATATCTTATTTCATTTCCTTGAAGTTGTGTTTTTCAAGAATTTTCTCGTATCCGTTTATTATCGGACATTTTTATGTTTAAAAAATAAGCAGTGACCAGTTGGATGAATAAAAAAATCCTTGTTTGTTTTGATTTCCCTCAAGTTCATAGGACAAATCCTAGGCTCCTCTGTATACTGTATAGTTTATTAAATTAACTAACGAAGTCGTATCAAGCTAGGTGAAGGTGAACATAATGAAAATGAATTGGACAATATGGTCTATTCAATTTTATCGTCTCTTATCAGATTCCCGTTTTGCCCTTAGCATCGCAGTTTAACAGTTACAGGTGGCAGGCCAGGGCATGTTTGGTCAGATAGGCGTTGTGAAGTCTAAAGACTCAAGCTGTCACTGACTCATTTGATCCATCTTCTTATGGTCTCCTCTTGACTCTTGGTTTTCTTTTTCACAGTTTACACTTTGACTACCTGCATTATTGGATTCATTCTCACTAGTTGGCCAAGCCATCTATTTTTCAGTCTGTTTTTCAACAAATATTTTGACAAGGAGGAAAATGGATTTACTGTACATTGTACAGACAAAAGCAAGTGATTCATTCTCTTGCATCATTAAGATGGAGATAAATTCAGTCAGTCAAATGTCAGGATATTGATTGACTGAATAATAGAACATTGAATACTACAGGACAATACAGCTCATCTAAACTAAAACAACAGTTTGAATTTATATGAGGTAACATTTGGGAACTTTGATGTGGATTATATCAGAGAGCTTCAAAAATCTCTTCAGATCTCAATAAATCTGTGTGGTAAGTTCAGTCAACATTTTTTTTTAAATGTTTATTTATAACTTGTTTGTAATTTTTTTTTCAATGTTGATAACAAATATGAGAAAATCATTTCAGTGCATAAAGAATTTTCAAAATTTTTTGTTCACCAGAAAATGTAGGTGTTGCCTCCATTTACCTGGGGTATTAATTTCTTCCTTGAGAAGACTTTAATTTCTGTTTGCTTCAGTCAGTCAAGGGCTGTCTTCACAATGAAAGTTGGCTGCATTGGATCTCCAGCACACTTTGTCTTTCACCTTAACTCTTTGAGTCCCAGAGGGTTTAGCATCACAGGCCCAGTGGGTAGTAAAGAAAGTAATAAAATCGGCGCATCATGCGTTCATTGGGCTTCTAGGTAGGAACCTATGAATGTATGATGGGTTCCTTGGGACTCAAAGAGTTAATGTACTGTTTCTATTTTGTTATGATTTCAATGCTTATTTGTGGTGTTAGTGGTGGGATGCCAGTCTCTGCTTACAGTATAAGATATAATTTTTGTTTTTCAAACTTTGCAGAGCAAGTCTTTAATGAGGGAGATCACAAAAGTTAACTGCGTGACACTACAATCTTTGGGCGATCAAATGAAGACCAAGAATTTCTACATGATCCTAGTCTTTGTGACTGTGTCCGTGGTGGCCTTATGGGTTCTCTCATCTCCAACACCAAATTTGCAGACAATGGTACAGAAGACTCACTCAGGCCTCAAACGAGCCTCCAGCATCCAGCTTAAAGGTATGACTTGTCAAACTGAAATATACATATTTCTGCAACTTTTTTAATTACATTTTTTAAAGGTTTTATTGGTGTGTTAAGCTTAGTGGTTGTTAACCCTCTCACTCTGGGAACGCACAAAAACAAAACAAATTGAGGTCAAGACCTCATTGGAATCCCAGAAAAGAAAATATGCCACATCAATAATAATTGTGTTTTAAATTTGCTCATTTTACAGCATGCTTGTTAAAGTCAGTGTTTGTTATTTATTTTTTTCAACGACAGACAAGATTATGAAAAGAATTGCCTTTAAATTGCTCTTCTGCTGCCAGTTATCCTACTGTATCTCTCCTTTCCTTTGACAACAAAATAAAACCGAGTTATTGTCCCTGTCTGTCATACAGAGCAAGTTTTGACTGTCGACCCGATGTACCTGAGACAGCTAGGGCTCATAGCAAGCCGCAGTACAACAGACGCAAGTGTGAATGCCCTGGCAAATAAAGATAAATATAATGAAAACCTGGAAGCAATCATCCTTCCCAGCCCCAAGACCACATTAGGACCCCCGGTAATTGCCAGTGGGGTTAGACCGAACCACTTTGAGGAAGCAGTTGTGTTGATGAAGTCTGTACATTCATTGCTGCCTGGATACAGACTTGTCATGTATGACCTGGGACTGTCAGCCACAGAACAAATGCTGGTAATGTTGTTTTTATTGTTCTTACATAAAGTTTTTGTTAGTTAGAACTGTTCACAACATGCTTACTGGTCACTAGAACCATTCACATCATAATTACTGGTAACTTAGAACCATTCACATCATAATTACTGGTTACTTAAAACCGTTCACATCATAGTTAGTGGATCATGATTACTGGTTACTTAAAACTGTTCACATCATAGTTAGTAAATCAGAATTACTGGTTACTTAAAACCATTTACATCATGATTACTGGTTACTTAGAACCATTCATATCATGATAACTGGTAACTTAGAACCGTTCCCATCATGATTACTGGTTACTTAGAACCATTCACATCATGAATACTGGTTACTTAGAACCATTCACATCATGATAACTGGTTACTTAGAACCATTCACATCATGATTACTGGTTACTTAGAACCATTCACATCATTTAACATTTTAGAACAATGCAACGAATAGCAGAGAAGTATATATATTAATTTTGTGGACTTTGAGAAAGCTTTTGACAGCGTCCATAGAGACGGTCTGTGGAAAATTTTACAACATTATGGAATTCCAGAAAAAATAGTCAACATAATTGCTCTCTTCTATAAAGACTTTTCCTGCAGTATAAAAAATTACAATACATCTTTTCCAGTAAAGACGAGTGTAAGACAGGGATGTGTCATGTCATCTCTCCTCTTCAACCTTGTGATTTATTGGATACTAAAGAACACAGTAGACAGGACATAAGGAGGCATACGATGGACTCCATTCACCATGCTTGAGGACCTTGATTTTGCAGATGATATAGCACTACTATCACATAAACATGAACATATACAAGAGAAAAGTAACAGACTAAACTGCACAGCAGAAATGGTGGGACTGAGAATAAATACAAAGAAAACTAAGATCACAAACAGTCTAAACCAACAACCAGTGACCATAAGTAACCAATCACTTGAAAATGTAGAACATTTCACATATCTTGGCAGTGTGGTGTCCCTACTGGGAGGGACAGAGGAAAACATACAGTCACGTCTGAACAAAGCTAGAGCTGCTTTTGGAAGGATGAGGCAAATCTGGAAATCCAACAATTACTGCAGAGGAAGGAAACTCCGACTCTACAAGAGCATCATTTTGCCAGTTCTTCTTTATGGAGCGGAATGCTGGAGAATGACCAGAAAGAATACTCACAAGCTGTCCACCTTCCACCACACATGTCTACGAACAATTATCAAAATTTTATGGCCAGATACAATCTCAAACACTAAACTACTTCAAGCCACAAACCAAGAAACTTTAGACAGTATGATTACCAAGAGAAGATGGAAATGGCTTGGCCACGTTATGAGAATGACTTCTGATATACCTGCCAAAACAGCTCTCACATGGACACCAGAGAGAAAGAGAAAACAGGGGCGCCCAAAAACAACATGGAGACGAACGATGGAAAGTGAGCTGAGTGCGGCATCTTTGACATGGAAAACTGCACTGAAGATTGCACAGGGCAGGAAAGCATGGACAGTCCTCTCTGAAGCCTCATGTGCCACTAGGCATAACGAGAACTGATGATGATTCACATAATGATAACTGGTTACTTAGAACCATTCACATCATGATAACTGGTTACTTAGAACCATTCACATCATGATTACTGGTTACTTAGAACCATTCACATCATGAATACTGGTTACTTAGAACCATTCATATCATGATAACTGGTTACTAGAACCATTCACATCATGATTACTGGTTATTTAGAACCGTTCAAATCATAGTTAGTGGGTCATGATTACTCGTTACTTAGAACCGTTCACATCATAGTTAGTAAATTATGATAACTGGTTACTTAGAACCATTCACATCATGATTACTGATTACTTAGAACCATTCACATCATGATTACTGGTTACTTAGAACCAATCACATCATGATTACTGGTTACTTAGAACCATTCACATCATGATAACTGGTTACTTAGAACCATTCACATCATGATTACTGGTTATTTAGAACCACTCACATCATGGTTACTGGTTACTTAAAACCATTCATATCATGCTTAGTAGTTACTTAGAAACATTCACATTATGGTTACTTAGAAATATTTTTTGCATGATTACTGTTGAATTAGTTAATGGGGCTTATGCAGCTCTGTTGTTTAGAAGTTAGTGGGAACATTTAACAGTTTCATTATGATAGTACAAAGTTTCAGTTTCCATGGTGGATGGTTGTTTTCGGACAGTGGTACGAGAGTCACACAGTGAAAGGGATTGGGACCTCACCACACAGTATTCCAAAAGACATCAGAGGGTACACTATAGCCGGTCTTCATTATGGTGATGACACACGAACTTGTGGTCTTACAGATATCTAAAAGAGACATTCATAATTTTCAGGTGGGTGGGGGAGGGGGGGGGGAACACCCACGTCAGTTGGCAAAGCACTTGATGATGACTGTTTGATTAAAAAATGTTTGTAGTTTGGGTGCTGATTCATCTATACAAAATAATGGACTGTATACTTCAGATCATACAAATGGGACCTGACCTTTTTCTTTTACTTAAAAACTGTTTCATGAAACTTTTTTGTTTTTGTCACCAAACTTTCCTAATTAACTTTTCTGTGCTTTCAACAGCTTGCCAAATACTGCAACACAACCTGGAACTGTGAGACGCTTTTGTTTCAGTTTTACTTGTACCCAACCCATGTCAGATACTTAAACATTTGGAGCTACCGACCAATTTGTATTCAGGTAACTTTGTTGTCAGCCAGGTGCCATCTCGACAGTAAAGGTTGACTGCAGTGAATCTCTAGCATTCACTGTCTATCTCCCTGGCTATACACTCCGATAAACTGCTGTTCATTGATCGTGATGTTATCCCCTTACTTTATAAGTAGGGGGATCTGACTGAGACTCATGCCATCGGAATTAGAACTGTGCTTGCTGCTGAAGATGAGACCAGAGTGCTTATGGGAATGTCCAGAGTGCTGTTATGTCAGTTTTTAACTCATGTGAAGTAAAGGACCCTTTTCATGCTTTTGGCATATAGTCCTAAACCTGTATATTTAGAGATAAATCAGCACTGAATCGGTGATGTAGCCCTCACAATGGTCACCTTTACTTTCTAGTACCTAGTACTAACTTTTGGCTGGGTCAACCTAGAGCCCATTTTTTTTTTTTTTTTATGAAAAACATTACCTGATTGTGGATTTAAACCCTAGACTTTCGGGGCAGCAGAAGAGTGACTAGTCACCACAAATTGTGTTATTGTCCATTTCTTATTTGCCTGCTTTTGTCTATTTCTTGTTTGCCTACTTTCACTCTTTCTTCCCAGTATGGTTTTTTTTTTTTTTAAAGAAAACCTATGTCTGTTTTATATATATATATATATATATATATATATAATATATATATATATATATATATATATATATATATATATATATATATATATATATATATATATGTTTATATAAACACCACTCTTTTTCATTAGAAGTTATCTCTGGAATCTTTCTATTTAATTGCTGTTGTGTTACTTTTTTTTTTTTTTATTATTGGCAAGTTATTGCAGTGAATATGTTTTCTTTAGTGTGTAGCTATCTTTTACAGATAAAAGGTGGTGAGTGAAACTTTAACAGGCTAGACAGTTAGGCATCTCACCTCCCAACACTGATTTTTCTAAGCATTTTCAATCTCCAGGGTGCCTTATAAGTGTCCATACATGGGAAAAAATAAACATATCTCTAACATCATTACACGAATAACTCAGCTGTGCTTATATGTTTCCTTCAGCAGTGGGGAGCATGCATTGATATGTGTTTTCAGAACAATGGTAGTCATGTGGAGCATACTATGTCAATAAAAATGGTTTTCTTTAAAAAGGAAAAAAGTAAAGATTCCTTTTCCACGCCTTTATGCGTATAGGGCTAGACCTGTATTTTTATAGACAAAGTTGGGTGATGTGGTCAGTGTCATGCCGGCCGCCTTTACTTCCCGGGACTGCACCTGGTACCCAATCAAGGCTGGGTCGACCTGGGAGTCAAGGTCATTATTGAAAAAAGTCCGGCTCCGCCAGAGAGCAAACCCACAACCTTCCGATCAGCACGCGAGCATCTAGCCACTGTGCCACAGCCACTCTCTTCCTGCGTGGGAGACACTGGATATTCAGAGTTAACCCAAAAATGTATACACAGTAATTGCCCAACAGTAAACTGTATAAACATTTTTACACAGGCTACTTGTTTTAAAATGTCATCATTACACAACATATTCCGCCATATTTAGATCAAAGTCCCCATGTGGGTTCCGGGGCCCTATTATAGGAAAAACAAGAATAGACCCGCTGCCTACCCAAAAGCCTGTCGTAAGAGTCGTCTAATTGGGAGCTATCTTCGAAGTCGGAGTGCATCAGACTGAGAGGCAAGGAACCAAAAGTCTGCATTCAAATGAGTCAGATCTGTCAAATGGATGCACACTCAACACTCAGGTTCTGAAATAGGACTGCAGTCCAGAAGTGGACGAACAACCAGAACTTTCCCCCAGAGTTTTCAGCCGGTGAACATGAAGAAGAAGAAGAGAAAATTACGGTAGCTGTGTGTTGTATTCTGGTTATGAAAAGTGTCTGGAGGCTAAGAGGAATCATTTTGAGCACCTGTAGGAACTTCATACATCACATGTAACCTGTATGCATCTCTTCATGTCTGAATAAATTTAGTATCAAATTGTTTATATGGGGTTTTTTTTAAACAAACCCATGCAACACATTGCTACCATAATGTATGCAAAGACTGCAAATATCGTACATGTAGATACATTTAACTGATGGGCGATTACTGTGTATAAAGTTGTTTTGGTTAACTCTGTAAACAATCGATCATTCTAGAAATGTTTTTCTTTTAGTACCTGATGAGGTACAGACATAATGAAAGAAGAAAAAGAAAGAAAGAACATATCTGTTGGAAGCTGAGGTGGCATGGTGTCTGAATGCCTGCATTTAGGTCCTAAGATTTAACCCTGTCCCCCCCCCAGAAAGCCAGTTTTCCTACTTTTATTGGTTATTGATGAAATTACTTCTTTAGACAGTGGCTAATGTGATTGTAAAACAGCTTTGGTGCTGGTTGCAACTGTATAGTGTGTAGATGTAGTGGGTATGACTATGTTTACACATTCACAAAGTTCGGTATTATTTGATGTGGGAAAAAACTAATCCTTGGGGGGAGGGGGGGGAATCATTTTCAAAGATTTTTACAGAGCAGAATGTTAATCCCTATCAGGATTAACTTAACTTATAGCTGGTACCAGGAAATGGCCTACCAAGTTGAGCGTATGTTGTTGATCACATCACCAAGTATCAGTTGGTCTGTACAGTATGCCTAGCAACAAATGACTGGGCTCCAGTGGCATGAATTGTCTATCAGCCTCGTATGTCAGAACTCTGCTTTATGGCAGTGAAACTCGGTTAACTTATTCGCACCAGGAGAAATAGCTAAATAGCTTTCACATGCAGTGCATAAGAAGAATAATTAGCATGAAATGGCAAGACATAATTACAAACACAGAGGTATGGGAAAGAGCTGGTGGTACAACAGTTTTCTCAGTGCTCAGTCTGCAAAGGTTCAGGTGGCTGGGTCACACAGAGAACTGATGATGGTAGAAACCCTAAGGATATTCTCTGTGGTGAATCACAGATGGGTAGAAGGTTTGAGGTTTGAACAACGGATCAACATCATAGCACACAGGTGGTAACCCATAATGGCTCCGTTCTACTTCTAACTAAAGTCTAAGTCCAAAGAATCTCAGCGCAGTGCACAAACTCTGTAGCAACAGCGAGGATCCTGAGATACTTTGGGTAAATTTTCAACTCAAAAGGTTGCCCGGGCAGCGTCGTTAGGTTACTATTTTTGATTGCCAACTGCCAAGGGATTTTTTTTTGCTTGCGCGGTAATGCACACAGGCATCCAATCTCACTACCCAGAGACCAGGGGGAATTACTAGAAGTTAAAGTCCACATGAAAAAATCCCAGCTCTTACCGGGGATTGAACCCGGAACCTCTAGAACTTGAGGTGGACACCATGCCTTGAAACCACACAGCCCCCTCCCTGGGTAGAAGGTATTGAGGCTGGCCTCTACTAAAATTTAAAGACATGTGCAAGCAAGACATGAATGATGCAGATATTCAAGCCTGTTCATGGGAACAATGTACCATGGATCATGTTTTGTGGAGGGAGGCAAACCAGGAAGGAAATGAGAATTGAGGACAAATGATTGCAGAAATGATGAGAGCTGAGCATCTGAGAAGAAGCACATTTAAATACATGTGATGGCAGCAAAAGTCCTGAAATCCCATGCCCTAATTATGGAAGACTTTTCTTAACCCTACCAGACCTGAGGCCTTGAACCTAACTGTCCCTATAACCTGGGCTCCTGGGCATTACCGTGAAAAAACCAACATGATATTCACAAATATTAGTTACATGCAAACGAGTGGCTAGAATATGATGAAACTTGGAGACATTGTAGAAAATAGGCTTACCTTTTATTTAGCGCCAATATTCCACCTTTGTGTGCGAATTCACTCATCAGGATCAACTTTGTTTCACAAAGTGAACACCAGATGTTGCCGTTTGATGGACACACCCCCTTCTCCTACTATTGATCTATTTCAAGATTAATAATTTTCAAGATTTTCTTCATCATTCGTGCTCTCACTGACAGTGTCACTTTCAACAGAGTCTGATTAAACCAAAGTGTTGATCACCTGTTGGACTGTGAAAAGCTTAGAACTTGGTTCATCAGCCGCTCGTTTCATTGTAAATTTTCATAATTTTTCCACGTAAAACAACACAGATATAATCCACTCATGCGGGCAGACATTTGCAATGTCTAACAAAGAGGATTGATAACGATTGGGTGGTTATTTTTAGTCCATGACGCATCGTTTTCCCGTACTACGCAAAATGCCAAAAATTAGGGCCAGCGGTATAGAGAAATCCCCGGTAAACCGGGCCAGCGGTTTGGTAGGGTTAACACAAGCGGGTCTTGCTAGTCACACTCACCATCACCATGGGCTGGTAGTCCCATGCCTCCTCATAGCACAGCATTACACAGTCATCTGGGAAGACAGAAAGGCACCAAAAATTGGCATGAAAAGAGCTGGTTTTTTTTTTTTTTTTTTTTATGCTTACTTGTCATTGGCCTGACTAATGTAACATAATGTGTCATTTATATCATGTCTTCCATGTTTGCAGGAGATGTTGAACAAGTATGGCGCAGTCATCTGGGTCGATGATGGTTACTATTTTATAAATGGCAGTCTCAGCTTGACTCTGACAAATGCCAGGAAATCTGGCATTCAGGGCTGGGCTATAAAAGAACCAACATCGTCTATCACACATCCCAAAATGTTCCAATTCTTCAGTGTGGATCAGGGTTCTTATTTCTTTCAGGTAACCCTATTTTAGGATTGAAGTTCATGTTTGACTGAAATAATTGTTTTGGTGAATTTCATATGATAAAATGAGGGGGCTTCAAATTCCAGTTTTTAAAATATGATGGAAATGTCAAGAACTGCTCCATTATCTTGTAACCTGTCAGTATTGTTGTAAGGATGTCAAGAATGTTAAGCTCGTGACATCACACTTCAGACAAAAATGGTGGCTTCATTAATCTTAGTTTGAAGATGATCGCTCCACTTTTGACATGAAGTAAAGAGGAGCAGTATTCTATTAGTCATTATATTTTTTTTTAAATCAGTGAAGGGGTGAAACCTTTAGAAAGTAATTGATAAATGAAGGTCCTGTGTGTTGTTGCCTGCCTGTAAGTCCAGCAAGTGTATTGGCTGACAGGCTGACCCAGCCTAAATTTAAAGGCAGCTGGCGTGATATTGACCACATCCCCTTTGAGTGCTAATTGTTCTATAAAAATATGAATCTGGCATTAGATGTCCATGTGCCAGTGGTGCGAAGATGTCCTTTGGTTTTTTTTTTTTTTTTTTTAACTCACCAAGATTCAGAACCATATATTAGGCCTCTCACCCAGAGAAGCACCAGACTTCGCACATCCAGTTTGTGCCATGCCCCGTAAATATAGCTTTACAGCCTATACTGGCTTGTTCACAAGGAGCCTAACTAACAACATTGGTTCCCTTTTTTCCTGTACAAACATTTAGGAGCACTAGGAATGATTATATTTGCTAAAGATAGCATTGGGGAGTCTTGTGAAAATAGCTTTCTACATAAAAAGTGTGTCATAATTTCTCACTGGTCGTAGTGGTAACCGTCAGCAACTGGTCAGGGATAAAATTTGTCACGATTAAATTGTTCTGCATAACATGGAAAAATTCTTGTTCTAACTTGCTTGTTTTGGACATCTCCTTAGCCAGTCAGTTAAGCTGCTTGCCTCACGCTCTGAAGGCCATGGGTTTGTTTTCATGGACTGTGTTTTTCGGTTCACAGGTTCAGATTTCACCTAAAGAGTTACCTAGGGATCATCACTGGAATTTGAGCTTTATATGATGTTCTTGGCAGGTGGTGAGCCGTTCTGCAGAGAGGGACCAAGCCATATGGGATATATCATATTTTTCCATGTACAGGGTGCCCCGATGAATGAAACGACTCCTTTTTGCTTTTAGCCTACCGTTAAGAAATCCTTATAGACTTTTTTTTTTAAGACCACCACTTTTAAGAAATCCATATTTAAAACATATTCTGTTTATAAGACGACTCCCAGTTTTAAACTTAAAATAACTTGGGAAAACAATCTTATATGCAGAAAAATGTGATAACTCAATCAAAGAATTTGATAATTTTGACATTAAATGTTTACTTTTTAATTTTTTTTATTTTAAACTATTCCCAGCATGCTGTTGAGTCATCTCACCTTGTGATCTACAATTCAGAGAAGATTTCCAAACAAGTGATGCTACCATGGGTGAAATGTGCACTGCTGGAAGAATGTATAAGCCCAACTGGTGCTCAGAACACTGGCTGCAACTACTTCAGACGACCCCTGTACAAATATACAGGTTGTCATCGTTACGATATGTCAGCCTTGAACATTATTTTAGGCAAGACTTTTGGCTTTGAAGAGGAACCCTACACCAGTATAGAGAGAGTGTTTGCTAGTTTGTTAGGTGATCAGCTAAAGGCAGAGAACAAATCTAGACCTGCTTGAGATTGCCAACACATTGAGGCATAACAGATACTGGAATTTTCAAGGAGGAAGCGCAGCCCTTGAAAACCAATTTGGCAATGATTTTGAAAGTCCAGCTCTTAAAATATCCTTGAGAATTTAAGGGGAAGGCAGAAAAACCTTGAAGTTCTTACAGCCGAACCTGAAAGAAGACCATAAGTATGAAGTCTTCTAATGTTGGGGCCAATTTGCAGCCTGATGTAAAAGTCACATCTCTTATTCATCCATGTGTTGAATGACTAGGATGTTCAGGTGTGCAGGGCAATGAGCAGGCTGATAGCAGATTGGCTGCTGTTACTGATTCTATTAGTGGTAAGCTTTTTTTTTTTTTTTTTTTAATGATAGGGTGGGTGGGTGTTGGCTGTCAGGGACAAGTGGTGAATGTGAGAGCATAGTTCCTGATAAATTCAGCATTATCGTGTGCCATACTGGGTGACACAGGCAATCACATTTTTCTGTTTTCTGATAAACTCAAAAGTATTATGAGCCATACTGGGCAGTACTGACAGAGTTGCTTTGCATCTGTTTTCTGGTCTCTTGACCAGACATGAGTGTTATATGCGATCCAGAGAGATTGATCGCATATCTGGCGAAGTGTCTTGGGATGATGATCATGCTTCGCCCATACATACAAATGTTCTCCAGTCGAAAACATGCTACAAATACTAGAATCACAATGTCACCACCAATACATTAGAAGTCATCTCTGTAATAGTGCATCCGTCTCTTTCTTATGGACGAAACACGCTATGATGAAAATGAGTGGTGATCGATGATACACTGTCGTCTTCTACTGCCTTCCTAAATAAAAACATTTGCAGTCTCCAGACATCTAAACAGGCTCCAGTGGACCATGAGGTGAGAAAAAGACGCTGGCGTTGGATAGGACACACAATGAGAAAACAGGAAAATAGCATAACTAGAATGTCTTTGCATTGGAACCCACAGGGGCATAGGAATAAAGGAAGGCCAAAAAACACACGGAGAAGAGATCTGGAGAATGAAGTTAGAAAGATGGGGAGGACATGGGGAGAGCTCCATGCAATGGCGAAGGATAGAACGACTTGGCGTGAGTTGGTTGAGGGCCTATGCTCCATTGGGGGATAGAAAGGCAGAAGAAGAAGTCTCCAGACATAGATGAAACACCCCAGCAAACTATATCCCAGGTGTCTGCTACTGTCAACTCACACCCGACCGCACAGATACATCTATGTGATCTACAATGACCACTTCCTGACAGCTGTCCCTCCAACGGACTCATCAGTCCGAGGGTTTAAGGTAGATGCACCATACGGTGAAAAATAAAGCTAAAAGGAAATCCAGACCACAGTCTGCTACCTAGTCACTGAAGCATCGCTGACTACCATTCTGTCATTCAGCCTCCGATACTTTTCCCCACATCACACTCCTCGTTAGTTAACACACACAAGGTTCCCAGCACCTTCTTTGCCCTTACAGATACCCCTGTCAACCATGTGGCCATAGCCGCAACAGTCCTGATCCCACCAACACATGGGCCGCACAACCGTCCATTCTGGAAATGACAGAGTTCCTGAGTCTATCGCACGATCCAGCAAACCTATTAGACCCATTCACAGGAGCTCCAACAGAATGAAAACACCTAGTTAAAACACTCCCGACCGGAACAACTCATGCACAAACATGTCCGCAGACTGACTGCCCGAGAGGCACTGACTGGACACGGGATAAACTTCAGCTTAGCGGCTAACCGTGCTTGCTATACACGTGGAGCTGCTGTTACCCGCTAATCTCACGTCATGTGGTGTGGACTTTTTGCGCTCATCTCTGTCATCATCACCATCATCATCTAGCACCTTTACGATTGGCGTAGGGGATCATGCCTCTGACACAGTTCAACAGCAAAGTGAGTTTAGCACACAACAATGAGATTGTCAGTTGAGGCACCTTACAGATCCATAAAGTATTTCTTTCCTCTTGTCACAAAATGTGACTACATAATTATGACAGTTATTGTTCTTTCTGGCTGGATGTAGCACAGTTTATCTTTAGTGTATGCATCAAGGGTTAAAGGCCAGACTTGGTTTCTGAGTCTTGGTTTCTGCAAATTATCATACTCAGTGAAAGTGTAGAAGGAAAAACTACATTGTCAGTTTATGAGTGGTCATCAAAGTTGGACTGTCACTGACATTTTAATAAATTGCTTGTGCTGCCCAACATGACAGTGATATTGAATTTATTACAAAATAATTGACTGTAGAGGAAATTGATTGCCTGTGTCATCCAGCATGGCACATGATAATGCTGAATCTAACTAGAAGCACAGGAAATATGTATGTAGCGGAACTTTGCTAGTGTTTTCCAGCACGTCACATGATAGTAATGAAGTTATCAGAGCCCAGAAAATATCAGGATGTAGAGGAATTTGATTGCTTGTACTGCCCACTACGGCACATGATAATGTTAAGCATGCCAGTCGGACCTCCTGATTCTCAGAGTGGATTAATACACTCAGGTTCAGTATTTGTAAATAATTAACCTAGCGCTAGATTCAACACAATACTTTTTGAGTTCCGGATGAAGATTTTGCTTATTACCCTGTGCACATTCGTGTGGGTTCCGGGGGCCCTATTATAGGGAAAACAAGAATAGACCCACTGCCTACCCAAAAGCATGTCGTAAGAGTGGACTAATTGGGAGCTTCCTTTGAAGTCGAAGTGCATCTGCCTGAGAGGCAAGGAACCAACAGTCTGCACACAAATGAGTCAGATCTGTCAAATGGATACACACGCAACACTCAGTTTCTGGAACAGGACTGCAGTCCAGAAGTGGACGAACAAGAACTTTCTGCCGAGGTTTACAGCCAGTGAACGCGAAGAAGAAGTGAGGGTGGGGTGAAATTGTGAATTCTTTTCTTTAAGATTTGTTGTAGTATGTTCTTATTGGTAATGTGTGGTATCGTGCAATATCTCTTAACAGGTTGGGGGGGGGGGGGGGGGGGCATGTGCCTGCATATGTATGTGAGAGAGAGATTGTGAATTATGTTCTAAGGAGTGGTATATGCATTATTTTTTCTAGAAATAATTTGTGATGTGTGTTATTTTCCCAGGTATGATGTCTGATATTGTGTGGTCTTAGGAATTATTTTTTTTTTTTTTTTTTTTTTTTTTTTCAAATATTGTGTTAGTTTTCTTTTTTATTAAGTTAATTTTTCCTAGTTGAGACTGGAATCTTTAGGAAGATGATCATAAGAGCTTAACTCTTGAATCACAGGAATTAATGTGTAGGTGATTTCAGCCCTGCATCTACCAGGGGTTGTTTGGTGTGAAGCAGTGGTTCCCACCTAGCTATGAACTACGGACCCCTTTTATTTTTGAAGGTCGGCCACATACATTTTAATATTCATAATAAAGGGCTTATAATTTATAAATATTAGTCTCACAAAAAAGATTGCATGTTAAAGTTATGGTTTCTTTTTAAATTGCGGTGGGGTGGGGGCGCAATGAAACCATGAATAGCTTTACCCTTTCACCCAGAAAAGCCTAAATCTAGTAACTTCTGGTTGCTGTAATACTTATGTATGACCATGTCTGCATTGACCTTTTCTCAAAAAGCATAGTTAAATTTATTTGGTTGGGTGTGCACCTGTGCAGTGTTTTAACAGACCAATATGTGAATATAGTAACTAAAAATAGCATTTAGGTGGGTTTCCTAATGACCCCATGGCTTTTTTAAAGCCAGGTTGATTAAGATTTTCCTGTGCCTCTGTGATTGAGGTTATGATTCACCAACTACATACTTTTTTTTTTAGGCCCTGTAGAATGTATTTCATTTAATTCGTCAATCTGTTCATGTTTTTTGATTACACCATTGCTTGTCTTTATTTTTCTTTTTAGTTGTAAAATGTAGATAAATTAAAAAAAAAAAAAAAACATGATTTGGGGGTTTTTAAAGGATATTTCTGGGAATTCAAACGGGTTGATGACCCATTAATTTTAGCATTCACTGGGTGAAAGTGATAAATTTTTTCAGCCTCCAAATGAGAGACACTACTCTGTACCACAGTCTCTTTATTAACTAAATGTTACCACTGCCAGACTTGGATAATGACAGGGAAAAATCATAAAACAATTGAGATGATGTTCCTGAAAAGAGCATTCTGTATAAGGAGAAAATAAAATAAAAGAGGTGGCTAAAGAAAAACAGATCATCTGTTGAAGGAAAAAACATTTGTGTACAGATGGAGAAGCGAAGGGTTTTTATTTAGGAGATCGGAGCAGATGTGCTATTGCTGCAATGATGATCATCCTAACGGAAACCCAACTTTGGTCAAAATGGTCAGCCCTAACAAAGGTGTTTAGGACAAAATGACTTGAACCGGCTCCATCGAAGGAAAACTGTGGCTATTTCACTTTGTTGTGTGTTTGTACTTGCATGTTTGGGGGTCCTTTGTGGTGAAGTGGTCAAGAAGTTTGTCTCGCTCACACTTTAAAAGTGGTGGGTTTTTTTTTTCATTGATATGTTGTTCAGTTCACGGATGCACTTTCTACGGAGATCCCTGGGGATTGTTTTTGGAGCTACGGAGTTCATGCTTGGGTTGATGCTTAGCAGGCAGCTAACTGTTCTGTGGAGAGAGTGAGCGATATGAGATGACTTGGTGGGATTTCCAGTTTAGAAATGGCGGCACTAAGATGTTTTTGTGGCAAAACGTGATATTATTATTAAATTTACACTTTTTTCAATAACAAAGTGCCTTTGTTACAAATTAATTTGTGATAGATATTTTATTATACCTAGTATCCTGTGGTCTAGGGGTGTTATGATGTTAATTCTGACAAATAGCCGCAGTGGCTGTCATGTCGTAATATAGAGAATGTATCTGTAGGAGTCATGCTCCCATTATAAATATGGGAGTCCACGAGTAAAACGGATCAACAGCATGGAGTTCAGCATCAAACACCACACTACAAGAATTAGACAAATTGCAAAATCAAGCACTCAGA